TAGTCTCCATTTTAATAGGCCACATTTCCCGAGACAGTGAAACCAACGGGGATGCGGCTCAATGAGACAATTTGCCCCGATGTCCGTCCGAATGGCATTGCCGTCCGGTGTCGCCCCCATAAAGCGGACATCGTACAGCCGCCCTCCGCCGCCGGGCATAAAAAGGCCGCCCGATCGGCCGCGCTAAAACACAGCTGCTTCGTATCTCGGGCGCCAGCCGTCGCCGCTGTCGGGACGGCCGCGCCGCCGACCGCCGATCAACAGGAAAACAGCCGGCCGCGGCGACCCAAGTCCCTCCCGCGCTCTGTCCCAGCTATCATCCTCTCTCCGTGTCCTGATTCGCTTTCCACGCCCTCCTGGGCGAACTACCGGTGACGGCCAGCCGGTTCCGCCGGCCTGCTGACCGTCCCCTGACGGCAGCCATGCGTGCCTCGGACGGAAATTCAGCGTGAAATTAGATGTTTTGCTCCCATGAGTCGGCCGCTCTGCCGCTGCTTTGTCCCGACGATCTCCCATTCCATAGCGAAATGTCTCGGATAAAGAGATCCGTTTCACGCATAGCAGTTATCGATTAGCTGCGCGGGGCGGCACTGTGTGACGGAATCAGCTGGCAGGGAAGTGTCGCAATATAGGTATACTTTCGAATTAACTGCGGTTTATATTGTGAATCAACCACGGCTCATATTCCCAGATGCATCCGGGATATGCCCTGTTCCGAGAAGTACAGTGACCTTTCGTTCCAGTGAAGCCTAATGCCAGCCGACTGCGCAGTTAATCATAGTGTCAAGGGACGCTGAATATGGCTCGGGTACCTTATAGTAGTGCGTAGCCGTGTTAGTGGGAACTGAAGGCTCGGCTCGGCTCCGATGGCGGCGCTTGCTGACGGAGACGGAAGTCAGCGTGTGTGACGGTAACCTGACTTTGGCGTTTTTTCATATAAAATAGTTGTTCTGCCATGTTACATAAAATGTCGTTCCGGCGCGAAGCCTCAGAGCGTGCGCTACTTTCCGGTTTGTCGCTAGATGGCAGCAGCAGTAAACGCCTGTAGTTAGGCTGTGCCGCATGCAGCTATTGCTTCTATACAGACTGACAGTGACAGTACGGTGCACCGCCAGAGGCGGGTCTCTCTCTCTCTCCCTCTCTCTCTCTCTCTCTCTCTCTCTCTCTCTCTCTCTCCCTCTCTCTCTCTCTCTCTCTCTCTCTCTCTCTCTCTCTCTCTCTCTCTCTCTCTCTCTCTCTCTCTCTCTCTCTCTCTCTCTCTCTCTCTCTCTCCGCTGTATGATATCCCGTCTCTGCCCTCTATGACATCCCGTCTCTCCGTGTGATATTTCTCCGTCGCCTCCTGTCTATCCCGGCCGAGTGAGCGGGCGGCTCTTGTGTCCGGGGAGGCGGCATTAATTCGCCGTCGGCGCCGCTTCTGCCACGGCCGTCATTAGCGTCCGGGCCGGCCGGTAAATCAACCGATCGGCCGTCCGATCAGCGCCGCTCGGCTGAAATATGGCCCCACGCCGACGCGCTGTGTACTATACGACTTCTGCTGTGCGCTGGAGCGGCAACGTGCGCCTCAGCGGGTCAGACCGGGAGGGACGAGTTGGGTCGGGCTGAGTCCCTTTGGGCAGGTCGGGTTGGAACGGAGTCGTATCTGGACTCGCAGGGTCGGAGCGACCGGCATGGTGAAGGCAGCGGTTGGAGGGGCGTTCCGGCTATGATTTAGGCGGAACGTTCGATGACGGAGACGGCTAGACGACAGATGTCACGAGACAGACGACAGAAAACGGATGCGATGACAAAATCTAACCCAAACGGCGGAGCTATGCCGATCTCGAGAAGATCCTGGAAATGTCTCGGATATGTTTTGACGTGTTTCCTCTGTCGCTGAGGGAATGGTCGAAACCATGGAATTCGACTCACTGGAGTTGGTTCATGTTTATTCTCCCTGTTATCGAGTGGCAGCAAATGGCCGAGGGTAGGTATCTATCGACTGCTGCGATCAGACGACTGAAACGGGCTCTCCAGGGGTAGGAGGCGTTGATATTGAGCGCCCGGCGCGACTCTAAAAACCCCGGTCAGTGGTCGGCAAGTGGACTTGCGCAGCATTTGTCGTATAATCTCCTGGCCTCATTCGTCTTCCATCTTCGCAATAGTCGCGGCGTCTTCCCCTCGCCCGCACTGAAACCGCTCTATAAATTGCCCTTTTCATCCATTGGACCGGCGGCCAAGGCCGGTTAACTGTCCTCATTTGGGGGATCAACTTCCCCACTTCCAATCTCGCCCTCCCAAGGGCCGCCGGTGGCACCATAAATCTAGCTTAGACTCGTTTTGTGGACACAGTTTTCGGCCCGATGCTGCGTCTCACCCTCCTCTATCTCTCGTTCTCTCTCTGTCTCTCTCGTTCTCTCGTTCTCTCTCTCCTTTCGCCTTTTCCAGTCCGGTTGGAGAGTGGATAGATAGACGCTGCCAATTGCCTTAGTGACGGTAATTGGCGAAACAAAGGGAGCATTGCGAGTAACAGGTGACCATCAGAACCAACGTCGTAACAGTTTCGTGGGAATGATAAACGAGGATTCGCAATGAACCATCAGCGATTTCTTGTTGGCTATAGTTTATAACCGTTTCTGAGAGCCAAGAGAAGGCGCCACGCCGAGGTGTCTGCATGGGAGACTCATGTGGGCGCCGCCGGTCTACCGCGCCGGATAATTGTGTGGCCCCGTTCCCTGTCGCCCGGCGCGGGCGGTAGCGGCCTGTAATGGACTGTCGGCCCAGATCCTGCAGCGACGCGCCGGCGGCACGGGGGCGGGGGCCCTCCCTCCCTCCCGGGGTGGGGACGGGGGAGGCCGCTGCACGCTGCCGACTGTGCAGGACGGGACACGCTACAACGCACACAGCAGCCGGAATCCCTCTAATATTCAACGGTCACAATTTCAGGCTGAGAAAGGCATACGATCAAACTGTAACGATGAATGATGGGGAAGGTGCGGGATCATCGGAAAGTCCTAGAGACAGGCCAAGCAAGGCAACCTCACAACTGAGGTGATTAATTAGTTTATACTTAAAATAGATATGTGACCTTCGGGCCTAATATTACTTGCCCACATAAGTGTCGGTGGGGCGAGGATATCATTCGTATATCCATCCCCTGCTACCATGATCATCTCACCCCATATCCCACCATCCTCAGTCGACACGGAAGGCCATCCTCTGCCAACACGACTGTCCACCCTTCCATAAACGACCATCCTCTGCCAACACGACTGGCCACCCTTCCGTACACGGCCATCCTCTGCCAACACGACTTGTCACCCTTCCATACACGACCATCCTCTGCCGACACGGACGACCATCCTTGCAGTCGACACGGACGGCCACCCCTCCGCTCTTCAGCGCCGACACCGTCATCGTTCGCGCGTCAACAGAGTAATTAGCGTTAATTAGGGTTATGCGGGAGCGCCGTGTCCTGCCGTCGAGGCCAGCTCAGTTGGAAACTCTTCACGAGGCTGTTTTTCTCAGCCCGGCACTGCCACCGGCACGCTATTGTCCTTAAGAGGTGCGAACTCTTAAGTCCATGCGATCCATACAGGTGGGAGGAAAGAATGGCGGCTGGTGCCCCATACAATCATCGATCTGTCCATTCACAATATAAAAACAAATTACAAATTTACAAGAAGGTAGGTATAACGGAGTCAACCGTTTTTAATGGTGACCTCACTCACGCCTTTATTGAGATAATTTGTCACACCTGTATCCGCGTGATATTAGGTATATGAAATAGGTAACCTAAAACAGGTAATGTAATCGGGTTAGTTCCATAGTCGCTCACAGTTTCCAAACGCGACATCCGACTGTTACTAATAAACAACTATTGGGAACACATTCAACCTATAGCGACATTTGTCACCCGTTCTCATGCCCACTCTCAGGATCTCCATCTCTCGTGCTCCCGATTACTGATCGGGCAAAAGGGCGAGGACTTTTACAATATCCCACCAACCGCCAGATAAGGAAACTAGTTTACCCAAGCAACAGGCTTATCACTCTGACAGCTCGGTGGGAAGCCACAGCACTTGTGTAAGTTGTGTTGACACCAGACAGACTCACCCCGGCTTACAAGCCGGGTGTGAAAGGACTGTACCTGGCGATGAAGGGACTGCCGAACGTAGCTATGGATCCATCTGTAGCGCTGCTATACGGCAACTACTGTCTGCGAGCTATTTTAGAGTCCTTCCGTCCTTCCGTTTTGGAGTCCTGCGCCGTCCTTCCAAACGTCGCCAGTTGTGCAGTCTCTCACACCCAGTCAGTATTTTCGCGCGGTCCCTCCCGTCTCTTCCTCCTGCCTTAGAACAGCCGCCTTCAGCCTCCGGCAGGCGACGTCTCACTCCTGCCCCTCCCACTTGTTAGCTGTCAGGCAGGTGACATCTCCCGCCCCCGTCCCCAACCGCATCCCGTCCCGCCCCGCCGCGAGGTAATACGGATATATTGACCGGCAATTCACTTAGCCGGCGCGGACCGGCCGCATGAAATTATACTGATCATAACTGATAGCCGGTAAATGTGGTGATGGGCCGGGCTCTGGCCACTGACAGGGCTCCATTAGAGGGCTCACTGCCCCCGCGGTGTGCCAGGGGAGTCAGCGAGGGACTCCGAACCTCCACGTCAGAGCTGGTATCGGGACGGAAATAACCCACTGATCACCCCAGAGGCAGCGGGGCGACCACCCGGCACCAGCGGCGTGGGAACGAGGGTCCGTCCAGCCGGCCATTCTGTATTGCCACGGATGCTTTCCAGTGTTGATCGTATAGTGTCGTGTTGTTGCAAGCTGTCTTATCTCAGGGGATGCGCTGCTACACGCTGTATGACGTCTATTGTTGTTTTGTTGCAGATTGTGTAATGTTTTACTACAGCAGGACATCTGGCGCCCGGTGTTGTATTTTGCAGCCACCTTGTCTGAAGCCCACTGTTGTGTTGGTGCAGGGTGTCTAACGTCCGGTTTTGTGTTGTTGCAGGTTGTCTGACGTTCGGCTGCATTAGTCGACTCGCTGCTCGTCTCGGCCATGGGAGGCGGTAGCCGGCCGCCGCCGCTGCTGCTGCCGCTGCTGCTGACGGTGGTCTCAGTAGTCGCCGCGGATTTCACGACCCAGTGTCCGAGCGACTGCCGGTGCACGTGGAGCGGCGGCAAGAAGGTGGCCGACTGCTTGGACTGGCCGGGCCCCGGTCTGCCGGCGGGCCTCAGCTCGGATATCCAGGTGCTGAACCTGAGCGGCGGCCGCGTCAGCGAACTGGGCGAGGACGCCCTGCAGCGGGCCGGCCTGGTTAATCTGCAGCGGCTGCTGCTGGCGCGCACTGGCCTGCAAACGCTGCACCGACACGCGTTCCGCGGCCTCGAACTGCTGGCCGAGCTCGACCTAGCCAACAACCAGCTGACCAGCGTCGACACAGAGACGTTCGCCGACAACGTGCAGCTGCGCCAGCTGTCGCTCTCCGGCAACCGGCTGCAGAAGCTGAACGACCTGCAGTTCCCCGAGCTGCCGCGCATCCAGCAGCTGAACCTGAGCCACTGCCAGCTGGCCACCATCTCGCAGCGGGCCTTCAAGAAGCTGACCAACCTGGCCGAGCTGAACCTGGACGGCAACAAGCTGGCCGTGCTGGATCCGGTCATCTTCCAGTCGCTGACCAAGCTGAACTCTCTGACGCTGCGCGACAACCCGTGGCGCTGCGACTGTCACCTGCGGCTCTTCCGCGACTGGCTGGTGCAGCACAAACTCTACCAGCTTGGAACCACCTGCGTGGAGCCCGAGCGGCTGATCGGCAAACGCTGGAGCGAGGCGAGCTCGGAGGAGTTCGCCTGCCGGCCCCAGATCACCATCCCGGAGCCGACCGTGGTGGCCGACATCGGCCAGAATGTCACGCTGCGATGCCAGATATCTGGCAACCCGGCGGCCGAAACCAAGTGGGTGCTCAGCGGCGGCAGAATTCTGCGCAACAACACGCCCGTGCGCGGCACCGACCGGCTCTACATTATCCACGAGGAGGGCAACGTGAACCGGTGGACCAACCTGACGGTGACGCGCGTCGGCGAGCAGGACGCCGGCCAGTACCTGTGCGTGGGCTCCAACGCCGGCGGCGTGGTGGAGCACAACGTCACGCTCGTGTTCCGGACGGCGGTGGAGGCGGCGCCGGGCGGCTCCGATGGCCTGCTCCAGCAGCCGGCGCTGATCGGCGCGGTGGCCGGCGGCGCGGCGCTGCTGCTGGTGCTGCTGGTGATCTGCTGCTGGTGCTGCTGCCGCCGCGGCCGCCGCTCCGACAAACAGTCCAGCTCGACCACCGACTCCGTGATGGTGCTCAACCACAAGACGCCCAACGGCAGCGGCTACGAGAAGTTGCCGCAGACGGAGCGTCAGACGGATGTTCAACTGGAGCGTCTGGGGGCGCGCGCCGAGCTCGGCCAGCCGGGCAGCAGCGTCATGTGCAACGCCACCGAGCCGCCGGCGCTGGGCGCGGCGGCGGCCGGCGCGCGCCGCCGCAGTCTGACCGACTCGGAGAGCGGCCGGCGCGACTACCCCGACCTGCTGCACCTGCCGCGCTCGGGCCGCGCCGGCTTCGAATCGTCGCTGGCCGCCGAGCCAGCGTACCAGCCGTACCCACCGGCGGGCCGCTCCCGGCCGGCGTACGTGACGCTGCCGCGCCGGCCGCGCACGCCCAGCTGGGGCAACTCGCCGCTGGTCACCGATCCCGTGTACGACACGCTCGGGCCGCGCACCACGGTGGACGGCAGCTCGCGGCTCAGCCTGACCTCGGTCGGCCAGGAGCGGCCGCCCGTCTACTACGTGCCGGTTGAGAATCGCGCCGACCCGGCCGCGGCGCCAGCCACCAGTGTGTTCGCCACCATGCCGCGCGCTCCCCGCCCTCTGTCGCACGGCAGCCTGTCTTACGCGGGCCACGCGCGCTCCATCAGTACCGAGCTGATCGAGCCGCTCACCGAGGAGCCAGAGGAGGTGGACGAGCCGCCGCCGCCGCCGCCCGGCTTCAACAGCGACGAGCCGCTGCTGCCGTCACCCACGCGGCCGGCGCCGGTCGCCAAGCCCAAGAAGGTGGCGCCGCCGCCGGTGCCGCCCAAGCCGCGTGTAAACGGCGCCGGTGTGCCGCCGGTCCAGGGTGACGGCGTGGATGGGACAGAGGTGTGACGCCGGCCGGCCAGCGGGCCCGCCGCCGCCGCCGCCGGCACCTAGCGCGCGGCGCGGCTCGTCCGCTCCCGATTGACAGTGAACACTGGGTGTGAGGGAACTGCTCACTACCGTTCTAGTGATGAGACGGTGACAGCGGCCCGCCGCCGTGCCGCTCCAGAGCTCTAGTCAGGCTGCGGTGGCCGCCAGTACCCGTGCGGTCGCAGTGGCTGGTCGTTAGCGATGTAATGAGGCTGTCTGAGCAGCCGGGACTCATAGACTGGTCCGTCAGAGGACTGCCGTCCGCCGTGGGGAGCTCTGTTATCTCCGTGCGCACTCTGTTTAAACGTCCGCTTTCAGCGCCGTCCCGCCACTCCCTTCCTTCCTCCCCAGACGCGCGGAGCAGCCCCGCCCAGCGGAGCGGCGCGCAGTGTTCGCCCTTTGTGCGCCAGCACTGGCTGTTTACTACTTCGGCCAGATTTATGCGCTCATTAGATGTGGCCCGACGCTTCAGTGCCAACGTCCCGGGGCGCGCGCTTTTTATGGCGCGCCAGCTGCAGCCGGCGCACCGCCGATTGTAGTGGCGCGAAATGGCGGAAGCGGCGCCTGTCAGTACGTGTTCGATGCGCTCCGTCTATCTGTCTGTCTGTCTATCTGTCCGTCTGTCCGTCTGTCAGCTGGTCTGTCTCGCGAGCGTCTCGCGCTCGCTCGGAGGCGGATGTTTTCCGTGATGGCGGCTGAGTGAGGTCCGTCGCCAGCGTCTGCAGTCGCTGTGTGTGTGGCGGGACGGTCCTCCGGCGGGTCTGGGCGTTCCGTACCGGCCTCGAGCTACCTTGGCGGACGCTGTGCGGAGCTGAGACGTGCAGCCGAACTGCATCACCGAGCGGTGACGAGACTTATACCAGATGAGGCAGAGCTTCAGGGCGGAACAGATAAATCGTGGGCATTAAGTTGTGAATCACCATACGAAATGATATTTCATAATATTTTGAAAAATCCTGCTTACATGATGTAGTGTCCTGTTTCGATTGCATGATTTCTGAAGATGAGTCATTTTAAACTAAGTTACTTTGTGAGTAACCGAGGGTTTGTTTGCGTATGCTGAATGCCACTGTTATCGGTATTTGTGTCATTCGTGTCTGTGTAGGCGTGAGGTGTTTCTGGGGACACCGTTACCGCTCCGTTGGCGCGTCTCTCGCCGAGCTGCGGTCGCCAGTGGATGGGGCTTGGGTGCCCCGCCCGTCTCTGGCCTGACCCGAGAGCTTGTCAGGTGCTCACTAACGCAACGCGTCCGTATCCGACACGGAAACCTGTGCAGAGGAGACGGCTTCGCTGCAGCGCCGACCGGGACACGCCGCTTTGTACAAGTGCATATTTTCCAAATACAGCAGCGTCCATTTTAGAGTGGGTGTGTGGTGTGGTGGGGCGGCCGCAGACCAGGGCGGAGCGGGTCATCGGCCGTGAAGGAGCTCCATCGACCGCCGCCCTCGCGCCGGCGGCGGCGTCTCGCGTGTGTCTCGTCTCCCGCGAGTCGGTATCGACAGCTCCGGAGCGCCGCTCGGGATCGCTCGGAGCGCCGGCCTTGGAGGAGGAGGTCGGCCGTCCCTCCTGGGTGGGCGCCGGTCCGACCCAGACGCCGGGAGGTCCTCCGGCGCTGGCGAACGGCGCGTCGGAGAGCGACTTCAGCTATAGCACCGTATACACGTATTCAAAGACCTGCATGCATATGTACTACATCTCCAAGGCTGCAAACAATATCCCTGGTTAGGTTACAGCGAGCAGACTTCGATAATAATCAAAAGTGTTACAGCCAGCTCATGTAAGAGCTCATGCACTGATAAGAGCTCATGCACTAATAAGAGCTCATGCACTGCCAGCTTCAAAACGTTACCGTCGAATGCCCGACTTTTCAAAACAAGCCAAGTAGCGTGTCTTCACTCCATAAATCTGTCCATCTTTCTCCATTTTGTCTTGCCCACCTCCTTCCACCGTTTCATCTACCGCACTTCTTTTATCGTCTGCCTATGGTTTCCTCCGTAGTCTCTATTCGCCAGTCCCATCCAACTACTGTCTCTTTTGTCTTATCCGTCTCCCACCGTTTGTTTCTTCTATCGACTCTCCGTTTGTCATTGCTCACTTTTCCTCTATTGTCTCCCTCCGTCCTTTCTAGCCACCGTCTCCGCCGTCCGTTGGTTCCTCCACTACGGGCTGCTCCCAGTTTGCAGCCGGGACCGGAAACCGAGCTCGACATTTCCTCAGCGTCACAGGCAGACTCGTGAAAACGAGACGAATGAAACGGCAACGGGCGCGGGGAGAAAGGGGCGGTTCAAAGACCCGGCTCCACTGGGGTCGGCGGGCCGCCAACGCCGCGCCGAGATGAAATCAATGCCAGATCGGATATGACGGCGCCTCCCCTCGGAACTCGCAAACGTAGAAACGCTCTCGGAGGTGCCGCATCTCGATAAGGCTAATGATGCGGACATGAGGGTATGTGTTTTACCGGTTCAAACATTACCACGAAGACGGGCAATGCCAGCGGGAGTGACCCAGCGAAGGCCGAAGCTGCCTGCCGCTATGACCATCATTGTATACCTTAAAGGAAATAGTTCACTTTTTAACATGGGTTTTGAACTGGAATAGCAGTTCCGTAGCCTGGGCTGAGACGAGCATAAATCAGGAGCTTTTACAGCCCAACGATCACCCTAGGCAAAGATATTCTATTTCTCGTCCCGAAAAAGGTGTCTTGCGTTGAGGATGTGTGCCTTGCATATATTCGCATCCAGTATGAAAAGAGCATGGGTACCGAAAATTCTTCAGAAACTAGAGAAATTATCTACGAGAACTCTAGAGAAATTCTCGTACTGATCAATAAGGACATTCAGCAGCAGCAGATCACCCAAATGCCGGTGGCCGCGATAATTTCTCTAGTTTCTGAAGAATTTTCGGGACCCATGCTCTTTTCATACTGGATCGCCTGTGCCTTACAGAAACTGAAAAGTCCTTCCTATATCAAAATATAGAAAATAATCTTTTGTTATAAATAGGTTTTATTTTCTTTGCTGATCATTTTGAACATAAAAAATCATAAATCCGTTGCAAAAAAAATAATTTCGTGAAAGTGAACTATTTCCTTTAACGGTTCTTAAAGATACTGCGTAGTGCACAAACAGCAACCGTTAAGGCCTGGCTACACTATGCGTTTTCTTCGTGCGTTTTTTGCGTGTTTGCGTGTTTTGCGTGATATCGTTCTAGAAAAAAGAACGATATTACGTTTTTGTGATGTTTTTCACCTTAAATTTTAGTTACATAAGCGTTATATTAGCTTTTGTATATAACCAAAGTAAAAATTATATTGTTTATAACTTTTTTCCTAGAACGATATTACGCAAAACACGCAAACCTGCAAAAACGCACGCAGAAAACGCATAGTGTAGCCAGGCCTTTACTGTTTGTGCACTGCAAGTGCACTGCGTTCGTCGGCGACGAACTGATCGCTACATGTAAGATTGTCGTTTAAATTCTCCAGTCCAGATGCTTACAGTGCAAAGTTGGTATACTGTGCCGCAAGGCTCATGCTTTATCTCGTTGAACGCCTGAAACTAGACTGTGCCGCAGCACGCAGCCCGACACCGCAACGTATTTGACCGCCTAAAGATATTGACTCCTTTGTCAAAGATGGCCTGCTAAGTGACCCATGACTGTGAAGGGAATGGGACACTGCTGGAACCAGGGTGGGTATATAGAACGACGAGCGCTGGAACCAAAGCTGGAACCACGGCCTGTGTAGACATTGATTCTGGGTAAACCGAGAGCCCCTGCATGAGATCGTATTGCTCATATATGCAGAACGGACGTGCTTTTAGCGGCCGAGGTCATCACTGCAGCGAAATAACAGCGCGTTCGGAGAAATGAAAGACATGGCAATGATGAATTTTTTAACGTTCTTTTATCCCGCTAGTCTTATCACACATGAAGGCGCGCGGCCTCCGCCATTACTGAAGTAATAACACTCAGCGGAGGAATTGATTTCGTGTCGATTACAATAACCACTGCATGTAGGTTACTGCGGCAAATGTGTGTTTTATGTCCAACGCACATAGTTTTACTGAACAAAAACATTCAGCATTTTATTTTTTGAACCAGATCGTTTAAAGCCGACTAGCTCTATCTGACCCCGTTTGGCGGCCCGTCGGCGCCCATCAGAGCCGCCGTCCGAGAGGTCGGCGGCTAACCCGGCCTGTTGGTCTGCATTCTGTCAGCGGCAGCGCCGGCCCGGCCGGACAGCAAATTAACCCGCGCCCTGCTGGGGGGGGGGGTGTTTGAACACCCCCCCCTGTGGTTTTTCGCGAATATCTCAAAAACGGCGGCGCGGAGCGCCGCCGTTTTTGGTACACCTTATCATACATCAATTCTACACATGTTGTGAAAATTTCAGACCAAGGTCATTCAAGGTCAGGTCACCAGGTCACTCGAAGTGACCTCACCTCATAAAAAGTTTCAATGTCTGTCATAGCTACACCGAGTGACCGATCGCTTTGAAACTTTCAGCGATTGCTAAGAGCATTAGCATGTACAAAATGTATATCTCAGAATTTTGATATCGATGACCTAAGGTCAGGTCAATTTTGCGACCTCACCATTATAAGTCAATGGGAGAAAATTGAAATGCGCCTGTTTTGGACGAAAGACATTATAAACACTCCCAAACACTGAATTACAAGTGGTTTAGACACACTGAACATGAAAATGGTGTCTGTGACCCCTGTTTATGCCCTGAGGTCATCTTAGGTCACGAATGGTATCTAACAGTTTTTCGCAAATAACTTTTGATAGAGGCATGCTAGAGCGATGAAAACGCCTTAGATGTGTTCAGCTCGACGATACGGATCGACTGATATGCAACATGACCCTTTCCGGTCAGGTCATGACCTTGACCTGAGGTCAAATTTTCAAGTTGACCTTTCAAGGTCAAATTATAGTTCGTTCGATGCGTCTTGACGAGAGGAACACGATGCCGGTAAAAGTAAGCTCGTACAATGCTTGGGTCAAAAGTTATTGCAGAAAAACTGTTTCCGAAAAAATCGGCTATTTTTGCAGTTTTTGCCCCCTGCAGGCAAAACCGTTGACGTTAGGTCAAATCTGAGAAAATTACTCAGAAAGGGCGTTAATAGGGCTATCGAATGCGCTTTTCCGCGGCGCTGTAGCTCTATTGGTTCCCGAGTTATGCGTTGGCTTCTTGGAAATTTTCGACATTCGACCTGGAAATCGGCGAAAATTTGCCTTCAATGACCTCTGGTGACCTGACCTTTGACCTGACCAAAAAATTGACCGAAGTGATTTCCTCATTATTTTTGACGCTCTTTCGAACGCCGCCTTCCGCGTATCGCTACGTGGCCCAGGAGCCGAGTTAGAAGGGGGGGTGTTCAAACACCCCCCCAGCAGGGCGTGGAAATCCAGGACCCCCAGCCGGGCGCGGGTTAACCCGATGAGATCGGCCGGCCGGCCGGCCAACTGCGCAGCGAGCGCGGCCGACGTCGGCCAGCTTCACAGACAGGGCGGTGTGGGGCACGTAGGGCGGACCGGCGTCTGACCCCTGGCGGACCACGAGGGCAAAGGGAGGGGAACGCCGCGCCATCTCCCCCGCACCAGTCGTAGGGGCGACTTCAGTCGAATGGGTGATCTGGAGATTCGATGTAAGCCCGCACCCCAAAACTCCACGCGGAAGCAGTCGGGGAGCCGCGTGGGCGTGTATCGCGGCGGACTAATGTACCGCGACTCGGTGTCACCCCTGACAGAGACGGGACTCACCCGGCGAAACCGGCGGCCTCATTCCGGCCACGGCCTACGGTCAAATGGCGTGCAGATTGGATCTCCATAGAACGAGCCGCCTACGAATGGCGAGGGCGCCGAACTCGGCCGCGGCACGTCCCGCGCCTGACAATTGAATCGAATCCGCCCGAGGGGATTAGTTCCCTAATACTTCCCTTATATATTTCCGCCATTAATGCCGAGTTGGGATTTCGAACACATATCTAATAAGCGCGGTTTTTTGTAATCAGGATCGGCTGGCTTTTCGAAGACGCCGACTTGTAGAAATGTGCTCCGGAAAACGAGGCCCCGCACGGGTTTCAGATATAAGCTGTCAATGCCCGTGTCAATACCCATTCGAACAGAAGTGCTCGCCTGGATCTTGGCGCTCTTTAAACCAGGGTGATGTATCAAAGCACCTTTCTGGGAGCCCCGAGTAGTTATCTGACAAAACAGTAGTCGTTTACAAGAACACAAACCGCTGGCCACACCAGCAGGTGATTACCATAGCTGAGGCTGTCACAATGCTGTCATTGCAGAGATGGGGCAAAGGTGCATCTAAACGGACGCACATGCACCCTATCTATCCATTCTGTAATCGGCAATGTGACAGACTCGGTACGTTCTGAATTGACGGCTGGCACACTGTAATGCCAGTCACAGTACCGTATAAGCGGCTGACGCTATACGGCCAGCGAGCAGTGAATAGCTCAAGTCGCAGCACAGGAAACTAACCATTGCTCTCGAACTGAGATTAGGTACACTCGGGGGCAGATTGATGTTCCACCACTCCCTACCCATCGGGCTCACATGGCTCAGCACTGGCTGCTGCCAGTGGCAGCACTGGCAGCACTAGCACTGGCAGGCAGTGCTGAGCAGTGCTGAGGGCAGGCAACACTGGCAGCAGCCAGTGCTGAGCCATGGGAGCCCGATGGGTAGGGAGTGGTGGAACATCAATCTGCCCCCGAGTGTACCTACTGGCCAGCCCAGTGACGGACCTAGCTCGTCTTTCTTATTCCATGCAAGGGTCGACAGTCTATAAATATAAAATAATGAACCGCACCGAGGTAAAGGGCAAAACCACACACAGACCAAACACGACAAAAAGAGCTACGAAGGTCATAATGATTCCTGGAAAGAACAGAAACCGAAGCCATTCGCTATAGAACAAGAAACACAGGTTGTGAATGTGTGAATCCGAATTGTCGACGGGATGATTCAACTTCATACCACCTGATGGTTATTCCGTTACTATTTTATCGATATTCAGCATCAGGCGAACCACGACAAGATCAATGCATCGTTTGGTCATTGGTATCAGTGACACCTTCCGCCCCGTAGCCATCTCGTCCTCCGCCATTCTTCCATGCCCCCCCCCCCCACATACCTCCCTCCCGCCGCCCGCTGACACGTCGGCACGTTCACGCGCCCATTCAGTCTAATTCCGAGCGACTGAGGCCCGCGGAACCGCAGCACAGCCCAGTTTATGTGGCCAAGTTGCGGCTCCACTAACCGCCCAGCCGCCCCCGCCGGGCCGCCCGTGTCGGCAGCTCTGACAGTCGATAACGCACAAAGTTGGCCCGCCGCTGCCCTCGCCGCGGCCCCACTCAAAGGCACAAGTTTGTCACCGCGGTCAGGGCACAGAGAGCGGTGTAGGTCGGTGTTGAGGGCTTTGGACAGGCCGGACCCGCCGCTGTTCCGGGGGGGGGGGGGGGACGGAAGAGGCAGGCGGCTGGGAAATAATTATTGTCCGAGGTCAGACTCAGCGTGGAGAGTTACCGTGTAACTCCGAATGGACGAGAATAGCTCGGGCCACATATTTCGCTCGAAGGAGCTGAATTAAATGTTGTCGACCTGCTTTGTTGTAGAAGCGTTCTTGTGATGACAACACACACAGCTATAGCGTGACTTGCAGTGCCACTGGGTGGAATTACTTGCTAACGGCGAGTCAACATGTTCATCTATTAGCACCCAATGACCCGTAAGCACGACAGACAGCAAGTCAGAATCCTTGGCCCTTCCCCAGTGCCCTCTACCTTGACTATTCGCTTCGTTCCCCGCACTAGTCCTTCCCCACTGTCCCCGGCATATCAGCACACTCCCCCGCCTCCCATCCCCGTCCTCCCCTTCACACCCATATCCCGTAGAGCCCCCCCCCCCTGCCCCGTAACACCGGCCGCACCTCAATTCCACACGCCGATCCACTGGCTACAATATATTAACATTTGTACAAGGTACATTTTCAGCAGCTTCCACCCGCTTCATCCAATGGGAGCTGTCCGCCCGGCAGGCCCGCCGTGCCGCCCGAGCCGCCCCGCTCAGCGCACGGGCGGCGGCGGGCGGCGGGCCTGGCCAGGGGCTCAGGTGAGTTGGATAGACGAGAGACGGACAGACAGGGGAGGGAGGGGTCAGGACGGGACGGGGAGGAAGGGGAAGGCAAGCGCTGTCAGAGTCGGGGGCAGGCAAAAGGCACGCTGCTCGCCGGGACCACTGCCCGCGTCGCTTCCCAGCGCCAAGCGTTGGACCCGCGATACCCAGTAAAATGCATACAGAGAGTGGCAAGTGAAGTTCTCATGGGGTGGCGAGCGACACATCATCAGCGGCGCGGCGCGGCGGCGGCGGCGGCCGCGGCCGGACGTGAGGTCACTTCAGGTCGAGTCGCGAGCCGCCGGGGCGGGGTCAGGTCAGGTCAGGTCGGGCGGCCGGCGCACCGGCCGGCGCTACCCGCACCCTCCTGGAATGTTCAGACTGTGTCGGCGGCGCCGTCACCGCCGTCCGCACACAAACGAAAACCGGTTAAAACTGTCGCCGGGGGGGCGCGCGTCACTCGGCCGGCCCGGCTCAATTATGCGACATGATTGTAGCCGAGGCGGCGCGGCGCCGGCCGCGCGCGCCCGTTCCCCGCCGCGCCTCGCTGGCACCATTGTCAGGCGTTAAAACTACACTTTATACAGAGTCGGGTGGGAGTGACGGCGGCGGCCGGGGCGGGCGCGCGCGGCCGGGGGCGCCGGCCGCCTGTCATGTCTTCGTGGCTGTACCTGTGTGTGTGTGTGTGTGTTTGTGTATGTGTTTGTGTATGTCTGTCTGTTTGTGTGTCTGTGCGCGGGACTGGCGCTACCCGGCGGCCTCTGCGACGGGAGCGCGGCGTATCACAGCGTAGTTGGACAGCTCTCTTTCTCAATCTCACAGCTCGCTGGCTCTCGCCCTCTCACACTCACACTCACACGCCCGATCACCCGGTCAGTCACTCTCGCAATCGGTTCGTCTCGTCTCGTCTCGGCTCGGCTCGACGGCGGAGGCGGCGGAGGCGGCAGCTGCGCCCCGTTTTTCTGTCAGTGTGTGTATTGCTGTGCTAGTGGCCGACTGATGAGCCCGCTCTCACTCTCTCTGTGGGTGGCCCGCGCTGCTCCGGACGCCGCTCAGGCCGGTACGTGCGGCTCCGACTGCGGCGCCGCCGGCTCCGCGGCCGCCACCTTCGACGGGCTGTCGGATAAAGCGAGAACGGGCGGTTAGACACAGTGAGAACGGGCGGTTAGATACAGCGAGAAACAAAGGTCAGACATATATAGAAACTGACGTCAGATACAGCGAGAGACAGAGATCAGACATATAGTGACAAACGGAGGTCAAACACCACAGGAAGAGCTCTGGCAATGCCGCGACTGACCTGAACACAGATGGCACCACCACCCACACGTGAAACGTCATTGCACTGGTCGTAAGAAAGGTAGTCAAGGATCGTGAATGTATCCTCAAGGCCACACTATAAAGTAGGTATGACGAATCCTAATCAAACCGCAGAAGTCATCTAAAAACGCAGAGATAATGAATGCATTTGTATTTGCCAACAACTGATCTTTCTCATCAAGAGAATGTCCTGTCTCTCTCCCAAGCTATGCGTCTGGTTGTCTGCCTGTCTCTACAGATCGCACCACATACCTGGGCAGGTCGGCGGTCCGGCTGGCGGCAGCCAGCTCGGCAGTCGGCTCCGGCTCTCCGCTCTCCTCACCCTCGGACGCAGAGCCGTTCATCAGACCCTGTGACGTCAGGAAGCTGCCGGGAGGTCAGGTCAGAGGTCAGAAATCAGACGGAGGGTCACAGGTTAAAGGTCAGGAAAGGAAGTCCCAAGTCAGAACTTAGATACCAGAGTCGCAAATCAGGTCAGGCCGGGAGATCACAGATGAGTGAACATAAAAGTGTTGAGACCAGTAAACTATCAACAGATCATAACATATGTCACGTCACAATGTGCCATATGAAGGATCCCGGATCAGATCAGATCACAGGTCAGGTCAAGGGTCACAGCTAATCACGTATTTAGTCAAAAAGCCTTCGTCAGGGCTGCAGGTGACTGTGAAATCAAAATGGGCTCCAGTCTACTCCTGCCACCGAACACAGGCTGCTGCCCCGTCCGGACGTGGCAGACGCCACAGTCGTCAGTTACAACGGTCGTGATTTGGACTCACAGAACGCAAAGGTCACGGTCGTGCAGTGTCGTGTGGTTTATAACCTGGAAACGTATCCAATAGCGTCATAACGTGGCACCAGGGGCGTAGTGACGAGCTAAAACCTTACGGACGCCGCCAGCCGGATACGGAAAATGTCCAGTTCAGGTCTAGCCTTAAATAGTCGTCATGGTGGTGTTACGTAACGAGGTTCATTTAGTTCGCAGACCAGCTGTCTGACGGGCCCTGTGCAGAAATGTGTCGGAAAGTGGGCGGGTAGCACTGCCAGCCGGGAGGGCTCGACTCGATATGCTTAAGCTTCATATACGGCAGAGTGACGCCGACCAACAAATTACTCTGCAATGGGTTGGCAGGTACTTTCCGGAAGTATATTCTCGTCTTAACAGGTCACCAGCCTATGGGAGATAAATACACACAAACAGGCTCAAATAGCCTTCAGACTGTGCGATGGGGCTCGCACACCAGGTAGGTCTCAGGCAGGGCAGTTGACTAACAACTGAATATATTAACCGCTCGACTGAAATCCGAATAGCTGCCAACCAAGGATCTCCAATACCGAGAAGGGATTCTAACTCGAATTACTGGAATACCTTGCTGCCGCCGAAGAACTCCGACAGGCGACTGCGCGACTGTGAGTCTGTCTCACCTGTAATTGTCGGCCAGCTGCTGCGCCGGCTCGGAGAGCGGTGACTCCCCGCTACCGTCCGCCGCCTCGGACGTCGCCGCCGCGGACCCCGCCGTCACGGAAGACTCGTGGAAGAGCGGAGTGAAGTCGCCTCCCGTCGAGTTCAGCTCGTGCGGAGACTCTGCAGACGACAACGAAACATATTACGTTAAGGCCGAACCAAACACAATTTAAAACGTAACATGCGTCTTTATGGAACTACCGAACTCTAGCTCAAGTTTTTTTCAGATCCTGCATCAAAATAAGAGAATTTAATGCAGCGCACATTGATAAGCGGGCACCGTCTCAGCTACTCATAAGCCCCTCAGTCCTCCCAGTCATCACGGAATATATAGTCTACGACACTACGATGTCGTAGACTAGATATTCCGTGCAGTCATAGTCAAGTGGCTTGTGACTGACCTGGCCGGTCGGCCGGCGGCGTCACCGGCTCCGCCACCAGCAGCTCGGGCTGCACCTCCATGGAGCCAGCGCCCGCGCTGAGCTGGAGCGACTCGGGCCGGCCGGGCGGTGCCGGCGCGTCCGACGACACCTGCCCATCCTCCTGGACGGCGCACGTGTTTGAGAAGGCCGCCTCGAAGTTCGCGTGGAACGCTGACGGCTGCTCGGAGGTGGAGCCGGCGCCGGCTGGGGATTCTGTGGGAGGGGTGGGTCATGGTCACTGCACGATCAACTCACGGACACATGATAGTATATTGGCTCGACAGTGGCAATACAAAGACGTAATACGGGGACACGGCTCTCAGGGTAGATAGTCGGGAAATATGACCGGCATGACGGAGTTGAACTTAAGTTAAAACTTCAACGAGCCGTCGAGAATTGTCACAAAGCAATCGGTAAGTCCTACAACTGAGTGCACCACAGTCACAAACATCGCATGAGGCAGGCAAACGATGGCAATACCGATCAGACCGGTAGGTTATTGCAAACACTAGGCTACGCGGCATAAGACACCATCAGGTAGTAAACCTGAACCTCTGGTGTCGGTGTCGACATTCATTTCCGCCCGCGGCTCACCTGTGCTCTGCGGCGCTGCCGTGACCGCGTCGGACTGCGACTGGAAGGCGGGCCACTGTGCGGTCTCCGCCGCGTCTCCGGCGGCCGACGCCGCTGCCGGAGGCGCCTCCTCCCACATATTGGTCTCCATGGCCACCTGTGGTGAGTCGGTAGCAGTGGCGGCGGCCCACGGGTCGCTCGTGTCTACCTCCATGGAGATATGCGCCGGCGCGCTGTCGTCGCCGGCGCCGCCCTCGTCCGACTCGTCATCCTCGTCCGAGCTGCTGTGGCATGGCTCGAGACTGGCAGTGCGCCGCGCCGGCCACGGGTCCGCCTCGCTGGCGGCAGCGAACAGGTCGACCGCCGACGGCCGGCCGTCGCCGCCGGCGTCCAGAGACAGCAGGCCGACTGGGGTCACCTCGTCCGGCGACGCGCTGAAGGACGGCGGGAGACGGGGCGTGAGTGGTCGGTAGTCGCTCAAAAAGGCCATGCATGCATGCATGAAGGTAGTAATGGCGCGGGGAGCTGAAAAACAGCGAATTGAGAGGAAAACAGCCTGTGTCGAATGTAGATACCAATTGGAAGCCAAAAACCTGGCGTCCGACTGCCCTGACGTCATGTGCCCCATTTATCTGACGACTTCCCTCCCACTGACTTATCCCCAGCCCCACTAACCCGAATGTCAGCAGTCATTCCTAGCCCCACGTTCTGTACTTCACTGACCAAACGATTCTTTTCTCACTGGCATAGAGCCTCGTCTTTTCCTTCAGCTGCCACGACTTATTCTCTACAAACCTGCCCCGTCCCTCACCCGATGACCTTGCTCCCACCCACCTGAGTCCGTCTCCGATGTCGTTGTAGCCGTCGTCGTCGCCCAGGTCGTCGGCGCCCTGTCCGTCGGCGCCGGCCGTACTCGCGTGCAGCAGCTGGAAGTTGTGGAACGTCTGAAACCACGGCCGGGTGGCGCCGCTGTACAAAACAGCCCAGCCAACAGCGCCGCCACCTACACCGCACATAAACCACGGCCGGGCGGCGCCGCTGTACAAAACAGCCCACCCAACAGCGACGCCACCTCGCTACACCGGCCACACTGCCCCTTCCTATGACCCAAAACATCCACCCGTCTCCTTCCTTCCTTACCAACGCTACTAACACAACATCCTTTAGTAACCAAAGCATACAGCTTACAAATACCCACGCCAATGATACGCTTTAATGCAAACTACTTTATTCGATCGATAACTCGTGACTCGGAAGTGATATAGAATAAAATGGGCGACCTGCAGCAAGTGAGCCCACACTCCGCAGGTATTCTCTAATTACAGCGGAAAAGTCAGGATGACAAGAAGATGAGAGAATGTACTGAAATTCTTATCTCTGAGAGCTGGATGTTGTGGAGGGCGGAGAAAGGTTCGATGCTAGAGAGGATGTCGGGACAGAAAGGGCCGGTGTGTGGTCGTATCGTCCCTCGGTGTAGGAGAGAGTATTGCAGAAAGTGGGCCGAGTCAAAGCTCGATGTTGGAGAGGATGTAATGGAAGGCAGAGCCAGGGTACAGCCAGAATGTATTGAAAGGCAGGTCCGACGTACAGCGGCCCAGGATGTCATTACTGACGGACGGGGCTGGGGTACAACCAGGATGTCCTGACAGGCATGGCCGGGGTACAGCCAGGGCCTAGGATGTCCTGACAGGCAGGGCCGGGATGTCATTACAGACAGACTGGTCCGGGCCACATCACTCACCCTGAGGATGGTGGCCTGCTGGGCCTCCGTCACCTGTCGGTAGTCGGACTCGCTGGCAGTCTCCTGCTTGGTCTCCGGCAACACCGGCTGGCGGCAGACACAGACAGACAGACGTCATCAGTTAGACAGACCGCTCGACAGCACATGGAATCACCAACACCTAGCACTAGTAATTAGGAAATAGGAATATTCATAAACGACATGGCAGCGCCGCAACCATCAGGAAGTACTCGCCTACTCCCCAACTGAAAAGCAGCGGTGAGCAGCACGCCTCTGAACACCTTAAAACTAAACGTTTTTCTCATTAATCAGAATGTCTTTACCATGCCCACACACACATTTTCGGGCGATCTTCATAATTTTGCAACACATCCCATCGCCCCTTACCCTCCCTCCAGGCGGTTGCCATCTGTCCTAGCTTGTCCGACCTACCTTGTTCTGTTCGTTGATCCTGTGCAGCTTGGCCTCCTTGAAGGCCTGCCAGCTGGCTCGTATGTCGTCGGGCAGGGCGTCCAGCTGCTCGCGCACCAGCTGCACGTTGGGCCCCTCCTCGGCCGCCGAGCACACCTTGTTGGCCATATTCACCAGGTGGCCGCAGTAGGCGCGCGACGAGCGGAAACACCGCCTGTCAGGGGGGGGGGGGGCGGTTACAGGCGGTAGACATAGACGTAAGGAGGCGCGACCTATGGACACTGATGTTGCCTCAGACAGGGGGCGGCACAGGTCACAGGCGGCACGGCTACAGACCGTAAGCGGGCAGTTGGAGAGGCCGCCGGCGTACCCGCGGTCTCCATGATATTAGAGGTGTAACAGGTAGGCCTGACAACGGACGATCTAACCACATTCCACATTCGTCTAACCACATTCGTCCATTGCTGGAATACTGTGCGCCTCTTTTTCATGCAGGGTTAACAGCCAAGCAAGCAAGCCAACTTGAAAAGGTTCAAAAACGAGCACTTAAATTGATCGGCGGACATGACCTATCATATAAACGGCTTCTTGAGACACTGAAGCTGGAGTCACTGGCAGACAGAAGGGAGAAGTTATGTCTAAAACTGGCGAAGCAAATGCTACACTCTGCTAACCATAGAAGCCTATTCCCACCTGAAAGAGGAGCAATATCTGGTAGGGAAACAAGAAATTCCCAAACGCTGGAAAACTTCCGCTGCAGCGCCAGATTGCGCAGCTCAAGCGTGCCACACATGACCTCGTTGATTAATAGGGACATGGCGATCTAAACAAGATGCTCCTTACCACACGTGCATACCCATTGAAACCGTGTTTAGCTGTGTGATGTGTTTGTCGCAGCGACCGCTGCGGTGACCGGCAGAGACTGCTGTCTGCTGTCCCAGCGCGGGCGGCATTTTCCCGCTGGGACTATGTGTACATACAGTCACCAGCACTTGCTACTAATCACCTCGTTTTTGTTCAGTAGTTTGAAGACCGATCAATTCTCAGACGCGCAAGATACGTCAAATGATCCGTTTGGTCCTCAGATTTTCGAATATCTAACTTGTTTTTGTATATTCGAAGCATTTTGGGATGGAGAGCCAAAAAACCTCTTTTCTGCCCTAAAGTGTGCCCCAAGAAGTCGTAGAACCTAGCCCCGCCTCTGATCCACAGACCACTAGTGCCATCTCTTGTCAGCCGAACAAGCCGCAGAAGTAAATAATGTCACGTGACCTTTGCACACGCTACAATTACTACGCAGCTGTAGTGGGGAAGCGGGGCGGAGGCGTGGAGGGGGACGCGATCGGTCGGCTGGGGTCAGGTCGCCGAGGTCAGAGGTCATCCGCCGGAGGGTGTTTGAGCGGTTGGGCCGTGTTGGGGCTGCGCAGTGGAGAGCGCCTGGACCTGTCTGGAAACAAGCCCTACAGCGAGCTGTGACAGCCGAGAATATGTGAGGAAAGAGAGAGAGGG